ACACATACTCACCCAGTGTAGCTACACCATCACCAGCGTAGCTACACCATCACTCACCCAGTGTAGCTACACCATCACCAGCAAAGCTACACCATCACCCAGTGTAGCTACAGCATCACCCACCCAGTGTAGCTACACCATCACCAGTGTAGCTACACCATCACTCACCCAGTGTAGCTACACCATCACCAGTGTAGCTACACCATCATTCACCTAGTGTAGCTACACCATCACCAGCGTAGCTACACCATCACTCACCTAGTGTAGCTACACCATCACTCACCCAGTGTAGCTACACCATCACCAGTGTAGCTACACCATCACTCACCCAGTGTAGCTACACCATCACCAGCGTAGCTACACCATCACTCACCCAGTGTAGCTACACCATCACCAGCATAGCTACACCATCACTCACCCAGTGTAGCTACACCATCACTCACCCAGTGTAGCTACACCATCACCCAGTGTAGCTACACCATCACTCACCCAGTGTAGCTACACCATCACTCACCCAGTGTAGCTACACCTTCACTCACCCAGTGTAGCTACACCATCACTCACCCAGTGTATCTACACCACCACCAGTGTAGCTACACCATCACCAGCATAGCTACACCATCACTCACCCAGTGTAGCTACACCATCACCAGTGTAGCTACAGCATCACCCACCCAGTGTAGCTACACCATTACCAGCGTAGCTACACCATCACTCACCCAGTGTAGCTACACCATCACCCAGTGTAGCTACACCATCACTCACCCAGTGTAGCTACACCATCACCAGCGTAGCTACACCATAACCCAGTGTAGCTACACCATCACTCACCCAGTGTAGCTACACCATCACAAGTGTAGCTACACCATTACCCAGTGTAGCTACACCATCACTCACCCAGCATAGCCACACCATCACCAGCGTAGCTACACCATCACCAGCGTAGCAACACCATCACTCACCCAGCGTAGCTACACCATCACTCACCATCACCACCACCACCATCATCACCACCACCATCACCACCATCAGCACCACCATCAGCACCACCATTACCATCATCAATAACGACAACCGCCATTCGCCACTCAGTGGCGGTGACGTCACCACGACGCTTGTGCCAGGCTATGTGCACCTTGAGGCTACCACGTGAAGTGTCGAACGCCCGCTGGCAGGATGTAATGAGGCAGACCCAGCAGGTGCCACGGGTATACTGACTGAGATGACCGAGATGACTGGCTCATGCACCACCTGTGCCCCCTACTGTGCCAACTTGCTGTGCTTTAGCCACCCGGCGCTCCGCTCGTTGTTGTGAGCGACTGCCTCCAACTGCCCAGTAGCGTCCTTCACGAGCCTCCTCCACAGAGGCCGATCTTGACACCGCTGGTACCAGCTCCACATCCTCCTGTACCACATCACTCCATCTCTTCTCTAGCCCATGCCGCGCCCGTTTAGCCCCCTCGATCCGGCAGAACAAAAGCTGTTTAGGCATGCGGTGGCTGGACATGCGGGCAACATGGCCCAGCCAACGCAGCCTTGCTTGCCGGAGGTGCTCACCGATGGGACTTTGTCCAGATCTTTCGAGGATTTGTGAGCTCCTCACACAATCCAGCCTGGTTAAACCCAAGATTGATCGTAGGCAGGCCAGTCTAAATGTTTCTAACCGACGAAGATGTTCCATTAGGGGGGTCCACGTTTCGCAAGCGTAGAGAACAGAGGGAATGACTGTGGCTGAGAAGACCCGAAGCTTCGTGCGGAGCGACAGACCACGTAGCTTCCACACAGCGTTACGCATCCAATTAAAAGATATTGCCGCTCGACTGATTCGGAGTGAGACCTCTGCTGTTAAACCGGAGCCGGTCATGAGCACACTGCCCAGGTATGGGAAACTTTCCACTCTCTCGACAACTGCCCCATCACATATTGGGAATTGTGGGGGTGGAGTGTCCGATGGTACAAAATACCCAGGCAGGTTCTTCGTTTTGGTGGGGCTGATGGTAAGGCGCCACCTCTTAGTGGCACACTCCAGTTTCAGCCGCAGCGCCTCCAACTCCTCCTCTGAGTGAGCCGCAATTACCAGGTCGTCGGCATACGTAACGTGGTTGACCAATAGGGAGCCATCCCTTGACCGTACCCTGGCATCGGTCAGCCTCACATTGTATCTGTACCAGATGGAAATTCCTCCGGTACAGCTACTGAAGGCTTCACGAACTACGTGGTCGAAATAGATGTTAAATAATATTGGAGCCAGAGGACATCCCTGTCGCACCCCAAGGTGAACAGGGAATGGCTCCGATTCCCGGCACGTAGTTTTATCCGGGCCCGCTCACCATCATGACGGTCCTTAATGATCGTGAGCAGCGGTTAGGGACTCCGAAAGCGCGAAGAACAACCCAGAGCCCAGGTATACTGGTGGTATCATAGGCTTTGACCAGGTCAATAAAGCAGAGATGTAGGTCTTGTTGGAATTCCCTACACCTCTGCTGTAGTAAACGGACAGAAAATATGGCATCTGTGCAGGACCGCCCTTTCCTGAAACCGCATTGGGGCTCCACAAGCCTCTCCTCAGCGCGCCTGGCAAGGCGATGTTGAATAATTCTTGCCAGGACCTTTCCTGGCACACTGAGGAGTGAGATGCCTCTGTAGTTGTTACAGTCTGTGTGGTCTCACCTTCTTAAATATGGGGACCACCAGGGCATCCTTCGAGTCCTGCGGAACTGGTCCAGTGGTCCAGACTGTTTGTTATGATGTCATGTAGGACAGTCTGTGCACAAACGCCACCCTCCCTCAGCATTTCGATTGGGAGATCATCTCTACCCGGTGCCTTTCCTGGTCTCAGACTCCGGATCGCCTTCAGCACTTCCTCAACAGATGGTTCTTCAGCCAGCCACTCACAGGGGGTGACTTCTTCCAATATTTGAACCACTGCAGCCTCAGCAGGGTCATCCCCACTTTGTGCCTCACGATGTTTTCCTGGCTGAGGGATTTCCCCCACCCCCAGGACTTCACAGAAATGCGCAGCAAAATCTGCAAACCTGTTCCTTGCGGGGGGTCGGAGATTGGATCACCGTTCTTTCCCCTAATGATGGTAAATAGGTGTGGCGCTGCAGTGTAACTACACCACCACCACCACCACCCACTCACCCACTCACTCACCAGTGTGATGTGAACCACTGCGTCATAGAGCAGCCAGGCCACGACCCATCGCTCTGCGGGCGGCAGCTGCAGGCGGCCTCCCACCACCCGCGACAGAGCGAGGGCCGCGCGCGCCTGGAAGGCGCAGAGGGCGAGCGACAGGCACGCCGCTCGGCTCGGCCACGCGGGGTCATCGGCACCACCCCCAGCATCAGAGACAGCAGCAGCAGCAGGAGCAGCAGGAGCAGGAGACGGCATCTCCATCACTGTCGCGCGCGCGTGGGTGGGTAGGGGGTGGGTAGGGGGTGGGTTGTGGGTGGGTAAGGGTGGGTTGTGGGTGGGTAGGGGGTGGGTAGGGGGTGGGTAAGGGGTGGGTAGGGGTGGGTAGGGGTGGCTAGTGGGTGGGTAGGTG